TGAATATTCTGAGCTCTTTGGATCTTTTGCTCCTTTTGAACTCTTTGGAATAAACTTTTTGGAGCTTCTTCGTTTTTTAAAACATTCATAGAAAGAACCGTTTAGCGCAGAGAAACTTATTTGTCATGAAATCAGGAGCAGAAACACACTTTAATGGGAAGTGAGGCCCAGACCCTCGCTGATCGAAAGCAGGCAATTCGCATGGGACAATTAACGGCTCAGTGTTCGGAATTGGGAAGACTGTGATGTGAAACAACTCAAACAATAGAAACGGTTCACCCTGAAGCTCCTTCCCCCTGGACTGCGGCCAAAGTCTTCGCTTCCTAGCTTACACGGTGAGTCCTCAACTCCCCTCCGTGTAGGTTGACAGTTGTGGCAATCGTAAAAGGACCGGTAGGTTCTGGTGGCAATCCAGAACAGCCTCCCCTTTTTTGGCTCTACTCTATAGCCACAGAGTATCTGTAAAAAAACAGCGATTTTGCACCCATTGAATGATGCAGTCTTGAAGGAATCATGACCAGTGCAATCCACAAAAATCAACTCACCGCGGGTCCTCAAAGTCGATGAAAGCATAGAGAGGTCCTCGTCCACCCTTTATGTCGATAAATCGGATTTTTCCATATTTGGAGAAAATGTCCTCGATGTCTCTTTCGCGGCAATCTGGAGGCAGATTGCCGACGTAGATTCGAGTGTCGTCACGACCCATTCTGAAACTGTCAATCCATGTATTCATTTCATGGTTTATCAGATCGAAAACGAACAATGATCAGGAAAGAATTGATCAGGACGAGGAAAGGACAAGCTGAGGACAGTGCGGGCCGCCATGTGAGCACGAGCGCGACGCGGCGGCTGCGTATCGCCGCCCCGCGGAACGACCGCCAATTTGAAAAGCAATCGATCGCTCTCGGGTGGGTTGCCCCACAAATTGGTCTTTCATCCTTGGTCCCTCGAAAGAGCAGAAAGGAAGTGCTAATGCATCTGAGAGGGGGACAGCACAGACTACAGCCAAAGATACCTAGAATATCGATTAAAACAGCGGATTCCCCAGAAAATGAAGTAGCTGGTATACTCTTTACTGGGTTCTGGGACAATTAAAGCTTTCAGTGTCCTGCGCAGGGCAGTTCCTGTCGCTGGCACGGCACATCTTTGTTGGGCGATCCCCAACAGAGGGTCGTATTTGGCCGCCAAGGGGGGTCGTATTTGGGCTGGGAAAAATTTATTTTGATAGTTGATTTTTCTCGCTTCACGGACGTTGTAAAGGGGGGTCGTACTTGGTCACTTGGTCATTGTTGAGAGGGGGTGGGTCCTATTTACTTTCTGGCCTTCTGAGGGTGGCTGACTTTTCGGGATTTTCCTGTTTCATGTGTACATACCCCCCACCCCCCGGTCGACAGCTCGATTCGATGAGG